TGTATCTAGCGAACGTAGTGTGGACTTGGAGAACTTTTATGTTTAGCTAAAGGACTGTAAATGTACCAATCAGCACTCTGTGTCTGGCTCAGGGATTGTAAATGCACCAATCAGCACTCTGTCAAAATGGACCAATCAGCTCTCTGTAAAACGGACCAATCAACTCTCTGTAAAATAGACCAATCAGGTCTCTGTAAAATAGACCAATCAGCTCTCTGTAAAATGGACCAATCAGCAGGATGTGGGTGGGGGGGGGGCCAGATAAGGGAATAAAAGCAGGTTGCTGTCCCCTTCCAGGCTGTGGAAGGTTTATTGTTTTGGTTTTTATGATTAATTTAGCTATTGCTGACTACTTGCGTCCTTGCAGCTTTTGTGAGTTGTTGGGAGCTGTTAACACTAACTGCGAAGGTCAGCAGTTTGGTTTCTGAAGCCAGTGAGACGACGAGCGGCTTCGAAGAATGAACACCTCCACCTCCAGATGTGCCTCATTTAAAAGCTGTGAGGCTCCCGTTGAAGGTTTGCAACTTCACTCTTGAAGTCGGCGAGACTACAAACTAACCAGAAGTAAAAAACCGCGGACACATCTGAAAAAACAAATCCAGACATACCATTTTTAAGAACTGTAACGCTCACTACGAGGGTCCGTGGCTTTATTCTTGCAGTTAGCGAGAACAAGAACCCACCAACTCCGGACAGAATATTACAGGAACTTGATCCTAGCTGAACTAAGGGCTAAGCTGACTGCAACAGTATTATGGAAGTAATCAGGCATTCTTCAGTCATTTTTGTGTAACTGTTGAGTTTAATTGTTCTGATTTTTGGGGACTAGCTTAGGAGATAACTGAAAGAAAAATTTTGATTTTTGTAATAATCTTAATCTGTTTTAGATAAATTATTTCTGAAGCTACCGATTGTTTATAGTAAATCCATGAGAGATGCATAGATTTGTGTGTAACTCTTCCTGCCTCTGGCTGTTCTCCTTTTCTGTCTTTCCCCTACCCACCACCTTATCTTTCACTCTTTCTGGCTTTTCTTACAAAAGACATAACTGATCATTATATAAAAATTTTAAAAGTGAGATATAAAGTGAAAAATTTCCCTTCTCCCTCACTTCTAACTTCACTCCTAACCATTTCTGTATGCTGAGGAATAGTGCATAACTTAAGGTAGCATCGTCTCTTATTTTTGTAGCTTCTTTAGATCCTCTTATTCTCCTTGAACCTCAAAACACTTATTGTTGTGTGTTTGCATCGTCAGTCTTGTCTACAAGAACTCCTGCGTTTAGTCTCTAAGGTCTTTGTTTTCTGCTATTTTTTCTTTTTTTACATAAAAAAAGGATTATGGCTCCTTTCCCTTACGCTTTTCCAGGTTCTGGATAGCAAAAGCCTGGGGGAAATTGAGTTGTCCAAGTGGAAGGAAGGGAGGGAGAGAGTAGGGAAAGTCCAAACCACTAACAATGAATAGCTCATATACCTGTCACACACACTTGGCAGCTTCTTTTTGGTCTGTTCACAAAGAGGTTTTCAAACGCTTTGTAATAACAAACCTCACCTCCATTGCACTGTTGATTACGTGGGTATAAACAATATTTCGTTCATGCTTTCTGATGTCTTCAGTCTCTGCCCGGTTGTATTGAACACTTAATCTAAATCTCAGAGCTGAAGAATAAATGGCAAGATAGAGGGTGGAAAATCTTAAACAGAAGAAATGTTGTATGCTGTTCTCTTGAATGGAGTGATAGTTACATCTTTTGCTAAATCTTAGAAGTAGCTTTATTGGCATACATTTTTTTTTTACTCACATAATTGAGCAGCCAACTTCTAACTGACCGTCCGTCACTTGAGCATGAACTATATTACAACTCGTATTTTTATCACCAAGTTTTAGGTAACTAGATTTAGAGAAAAGTAGTCTTTTAACCACAGAAATAATGAGTGGTTATTTGATAATTTGCCTCTCGTGGAATCAGTTGTTAGTGTAAAATTATTTTTTGTATAGACATACACAATGTTTAAATTTTACTACATTCTCTTATAAAAGACGTAACTTTTTATGTTTATTTTATGCCTATTCACTGTCTATTACATGCCAGTGTGAGTGAAATATTGCGCTCTGTCCTTGTGGAGCTCATATTCTAACAGGTGCTCACAAATGGATAGTTTATCCTGCTATATTAAAAATGGAACTCTTTTTTTTTTTTTTTTAAAGATAATTCAATCTAGCCCAACAATATTGCAGTTATGGGCTGGGCGTGGTGCCTCCTGCCTATAATCCCAACTCTTAGAGACCGAGGTGGGAGGATTGCTTCAGCCCAGGGAGTCGAAGTTGCAGTAAGCTATGATCACACTACTGTACTCCAGCCTGGGCAACAGAGAGAAAACCTGTATCAAAAAAGGAATTGCAGGTATGCAGCTTGAGTATATAGAGATAGTTTAAATAATATTGTAGGGTACACAGTGTAAGCATCCAGGTTGCCTAAGTTAAGAGTTCAGATCTACTGATGTTACACTGTCAATCGGTGTATGGTTATGCATCCTATTTGGGTATGATGGAGGTGTTTCATGTATGGCAACTAAAAAAATTTAACAATTTCGAAGAGAGGGCAAATTGAGCATAATCTGCTGACCCCACCTGCAAGGTCTTATTTGGAGAAAAGGGTATTTTTAGGTATGATTAAGTTAATATTTTAAGATTATTAACATTTAAAGATAATTCACCTTTAAGGTAGGTGAATTATCTGGGTTAGCGTGGATCCAAATGCAATCATATTTGTCCTCATAAAGAAAACACAGATGGAGACTTTTCTCACACAGAGAAAGGGGTGATATGAAGACGGAGGTTGGAATGATGAGGCCACAAGCCAAGAAATGAAGGCAGCCACTACCAGCTCAAAACAGCAAGGTGTAGAGGCTCTCTTAGAGTTTCCACAAGCAGCACAGCTCTCACAACACCCTGATTCAGCCTAAGTGATATAAATTTCAGGTATCTGGTCTCTAGAACTATAAAATAACAAGTTTATTTTAACCACAAAATTTGTGATAGTTGAGACAGCAGCCACAAGAAACTAGTACGGGGCTAAAGTAAAATAGTAGCTTGAATTCTGTTTTGTGAAAATAGTTGTTCAATAGCTGATTTTCTGAGAAAATAAGTGGAGAATTGGTTTTTAAAACCTTTGAATAATTTTACACAGTGCATGTATACCTGCATGATAAATCACAATACTATTAAAATACTGAAGTCTCTGAAAATTCCTGCAATTAAGAAACCCAGTTTAGTGTGTTAACTCCGTTACTAAGATTGTTCAATCGCTGACATCCTACTGTTTTTGTAGCTCTAATACTTTGGCCCAGAGTTCCATAAAACATAGTTTGGGGAAAAGAGTCAGTGATGCAGAGCTGGCTCACTCCAAAGGAGCATATTGCAAGCTGAACTGGCAGTTCGGATTGTCCTCCCCATCAAGAAGTCTTGTACCAGTCTGTGGCAAAACATTTGAAGTTACACAGTAATTTTTATGCATGACAGTAACATTTATTTTTAAAATATGTGCATATAAAATTATATGTATGTATGAAGTCATTCCAAGTAGTTATAGCTTTCTATGTGATCTCTAGTTTCCATCGCAGTAAAAAAAAATAAGAAAACACATTGGGGAAATTGCAAGTACTTAAGTACTGATAAAATTTAATGAGCTACAAAAAAAAAAAAAAAAAAAAAAAAAAAAAAAATGAAAGTATCCGGACTCTGAAGAATGGACATTGT